ACAAGGAAAAAATCCACTGAAGAGCGAAATAACAGCACAGAAATATTCCCGCCAATTTTGTCATAACTTCGACGCGTCCGCACATCCGGGAAATCGATTTGCGAAGATGAAAAGCAATTTAGGCCCATCTTAAAAGTGATATTAGAAAAGAGGATTTTACTTTGATATTTCGACAACAAGAAAGAGATGATACTTTATTGGAAATACTTCAATAATATGGACCAATATGGGAAAAAGCAGGGATCTATGCGAAGTTCTTTTGTCGACTAAAGTGTGGACATTTTGAAACCAAGACCATGCTAGCAGTTACATTGAGAGAGATTAAAAACAAAGAATCTACAGTCTTGAATGACTTAATAAATTGATGAAACCCATGCTTGAAACAAGTATGGCTCTGTTGAAGATGACCTTTGAACGATAATAGTATYGGAAGTTCGATAATGAAGGTAAACAATATATTTTTGTATACAGTTTTCTGTGATATGTGAAGTTTGAGTATAGTCCGGGTTCAAACATCGATTATTGAAACAATGTTAATTATTGTAAGCTTATGTAGACTACTTTTTGCAGAGAAGCTTTCAGTTTACTTTTAATCAATTGACCTAAATAGATTATAATTTTAAACTTCATCCAACRGTACAAAATCTACCGAAGTCAATATTAGTACGAACTAAATTCTCATAAACATAAGCTTATGTAGACTACTTTTTGCCGAGAAGCTTTCAGTTTACTTTTGATCTTTATAATATTTGTTCGCATGTCAACAAAACTGTTGCAGCTCACATTCCTTAGAACAGAGCATCTACCTTTGAAATAGCAGTACCAGATAATCATTTTCAGCTTCTATATTGCTATTGGAGCTCCGCTATTAGGTGTTACCTAATTTTTATATTACTGTTTTATCATAGTCCTAGTTCAATAGTTATCATAATTCTTTATGTGATCGTCTTCAATGGGGAGATTCCATGTCACATCTCGAGGCTCGCTTGCTACATTCTGCTTCTTTGTCACGCGCTACACCTCCTCGTGAAGTCGCTGATAGTACATCCAAACCGACCAGTGTGTTCTTTTGTCGAGCCTTCCAGACGGGAAAATGTTCGTCTACTAAAGATCATCATGGCCTCGTTCGCAATGAACGCAAATGGGTTYAACATATCTGTGCTAAGTGTTGGATTTCTAGTCAAACTGTACATCGTCATCGTGAGGGTTCTCCCGAATGTCCTCTGGAATCTTCATYGTCAGTTGCTCCGCCATTGACATCTTGACTACACCCTCCAAGTTTACGTTTTTCGTGCCAAGTTCCTGACATTTCTACTWCTTGTTCCAGTGATGAGGTCCCTYCGTGTCCAGTTCCTGATGTTTACCCCAAGTCTGTTTCGTCAATTAATAACATTAGTTCGTTTCAAGTTTCTGGACATGGCGATCTCACTTATGCGGTTACTCCGACGCTCAAATCTGTGATTTTTTGGACTTTGGTTGGCCGGTAGGTTACAATTACTCGCAATATAATTTTCCTATCAGTGACACTTCTCGTAATCACAAAGGTGCACTCGCCTTTCCGGTTGACATTGATCTATATTTATCTAAGGAAATTGATGCCGGTGCTGTGATTGGTCCATTCTCGTCTAATCCTTTCTCCGGTCCATTTGCAGTATCTCCTTTGAACTCTGTCCCAAAAGCGGATACAACGGAGCGTTAGGCTATCGTTGGAACAATGACTTGTATTTTAATGTAGTACTACCGATCGGCTGCTATGGCTTGTCAGAGGGTAACTAATGCTGTGTGTTTCATTTGTCGGTCACATGGACATGACGTTCTCAGCTACTTTATTGGAGTTTCAACGCCTGATTCGGCCTGGACGAGTTTCTCTTATTGCGACGCTCTTCTCGATGAGCTGGGACTCGAGGAATCTTCTCATAAAGTGTGCGAACCTTCCACTGTTGTGACTTGTTTAGGAGTTCAATTTGACACCAATAACATGACCATGTCCGTCACGCCTCAACGTTTTGCTTGACTGCTTGACTTGCTTGACTTGCTTGACTGGCTGTGGGGGTGTTTCACAGACAGAGTATTTTCATACTGTCTTCCCCGATTGTATTCAGTCGCGTTTTGTTGACATTCACYGGCTTGAGGCTCTCGCAATTTTAGTTGCCTTGCGATTGTGGGGTGAACGATGGACAGGTCTACATATACAAGTGTTTTGTGATAATCAAGCTGTTGTGTCTGCCCTCTCGTCCGGGAAGGTGAAGGATCCTTTGCTGGCGGCATGTTTGCGAGACATCTGGTACATTGCGTCTACTAAYGATTTCGAAATTCGCGCAGGTTCTAGGGTTTACGATTACCCCTAGGATGTTACGTTTTCTTGTGCCTTCTTGTTTGCGTTTTTCCTTTTTTCGCTCGTGTATCAAATTTAGTACCGTTGTCTTTGTGTGCCTTTGATGCTCACAAGCATTTGTGTCATAGGGATATCCAGTCAGCACCTCATGGTCTGACAGTCATTTTTAAATGGTCTTAAACCAATCAGACTGGCTCGCGTTGTTTAGAATTGCCTTTAGTACGTAATCCTTCCTCGCCTCATTTGTGTCCTKTTTCCATGTTTACATGCATGTGTCGCTTGCCCGATTCCCCAGCATTCGTCGTTCCTTCGCCATCTGGTACGTTGAGGCCTGTCACGAAAAATGAGTTTGTCCGTACATTCCGCTAGCGTTTATCTTCTGCTGGTGTGTCAGCCGCTGACACTTATCGGGGCCATTCATTTCGCAGGGGGAGTGCCAATTGGGCTTTCTCTTCTGGTCTACCAGGGGAACTTATACAAATTTTCGGCGACTGGTCGTCTGATGCTTATAAATGTTATATGGAGTATTCTTTGCATGCTAAGTTACGTGTATCACAGACCATGACTCGGAGTTTAGATGTCATGTGATTCCCCTTTTACAGCACTCACTAGTGTGTTTGGTGGTTTGGTGGGTCAGAGATTTATTCTTGCAGCTAGGTTTTGGTTTACTTCTCATGTGTGAATATATCTCTCTTCTGCCAAACAAACTAGTGTGTGTTTCTTCTTGTTTTATTATTGACATTTAGGGGAATTTATTACTTTTATAGCTCACTTTAAAATATTTAATTGCCCTATGCATAGTCACACGTGATTACAGTGTTTGATTGGTTATTAATTTGTAGATATCATGTATCAGTTGTAGTTCAAGAGTACACGTGTTAATACTGTTTTATCATAGTCCTAGTTCAATAGTTATCATAATTCTTTCCCATCCCACTTGGTGGTTTGGTGGGTCAGAGATTTATTCTTGCAGCTAGGTTTTGGTTTACTTCTCTTGTGTGAATAAATCTCTATTCTGCCAAACAAACTAGTGTGTGTTTCTTCTTGTTTTATTATTGACATTTAGGGGAATTATTCCTTAAATTAGCATTCTTTATAATATTCATGCATTAACAGATTGTCTCTTTAATCTAAAAACTTTTTGATCATAGGACTCATATAACTGATCCCTGTTTTATTTCTCTTACCATGTTTGTGATAAATGACAGAATAACAGTTGYCATTGTAGGACCACAAAAAGACATCAGGCAATAAATAATTGTAATATTCAGCAAAGAGTGAAGGCAATTCCATCCTAAAAAAGCATACATGTACATGTATTGAAATGACACCATTGACAAATATAGGTCTAATTAACAATTAGACCTCGAGGTCGAGTGAATTACGAGCTAATAGCCCATGACGCCGAGTCCGTGAGGCCGAATGGGCTATTAGCTCGTGGGCTATTAGCTCGTAGTCCACGAGGCCGAGAGGTCTAATTGTTTTAGTATAAACATACTAATCGGTCAGATAATGAAAACAAATTGAAATATCCTTAAAATAATTTAYTTAAATGAGATGCCGCCATTTTGATTTTCCCGCGAGTGGTCTATCACAAATTAGACCATTAGTAGAGTAGCCAATCACAGCGCAGTATGAGTGATAGACCATTAGTATGTTTATAYTAATTAAAAATAGTTTGTAAAAAATGTTTTGCAGATATTAGTAATGTTATGTTTTAAAACAACAATACTATGACTTGTGATTACTAATAACAATGCTCATGGTAGTGACATATATAATGACTTCCACTCTTTTGCTCAGGTGTTTCAGGGAGAGAAATTAGCTTCACTTCATATAAAACATATTTATAATAATTATGATACAGCTACTTGCAATAATATCAAAATAAACTTAGAAATTATGGGAAAACATTATACCATTGATGATATTTTTTTTTCTGGAGAAAGCACCGGTACTCATTCTGGACAACTCAAAAAATGTATCAGGTCATGATATCCCATTGTAACATTAAAGGTCAGTTTGATATATACATGTAGACTAGGATATTACAAGGGTGCATGGAGATATGGATTTAATCTACAAGTGCTGAAAAGATCTTCACACAATAAAATAAAATTTGTATCCTGTTATGTTTATAACTTAACCCTGACAACGAGGTTGACTCGTGACACTAAACGTGTTGAAAATTGCAGGTGCTGGCTTATAATCGACGAAACAAACATAACAAGAATCTGTAATAAATGAAATGAAACGAGTTTTGCTCTCTAGATATACAATAGTACTTTATAGATAATGATACAGCAATATGCAGAAATTCTGACCACTTTGACTCATATTCCAACTATATATAAAATATATCAGAAATTATGGGATATCATCGCTGATATTTTTTCAGATACTACTGATCCTAGGCAACTTCAAAAAAATATCAGTGACCATATCCCATAATTTCTGATATATTTTATATATAGTTGAAATATGAGTCAGAGTGCAGTGGTCAGAATTTCTGCATATTGCTGTAAATAAGAATATTAGTGTACATGTAGGTGGGTCAGAATTATTGCAAATATCTGTATGTTTTGCAATAGCCATCAATTATATATATTTAACTACTGTACTTACCAAAACAAAAATACATAATGCTCAGTCCACATGCAGTAAAGTAGACATGCTAAATAAGAAACCATATCAATGATTTAAATTCATAAGTCGAAAATAAGGAAGAAATTATTACATGATTGCTCAAGATTGAAAGCTCCACTCAGTGTGAGCTAGCTAAAATTAGGCATAATATACCAATACAGCAAAAACCCACAAGTTACATGTAAAAACCTATTTTTTTGAGGTTTAGACTAAAGAGGTTCTTGTTTAAATGGTGGTAATTAACACAATTTTAGGCTAACTAGGCTCTTAAAATACTTTATCATTTCTGTGTAAAAACAAATAAGATCTATCTGAGATGAGATTTTGAAAATAATAAAAAATAAAATACATCCAAGTTACACTGTAGTTTCCTAAATATGTGGACTTAATATTGAACTGCCATTATTGTGTTTTTTGGGCTGGCATCAATGAAGTTCATTGTAATACTTTCGTCTTTCAAGACTCATTCAAGAGAGTGTTTTCTCGTGCCAAGGATAATAATTGAGTTTCTTTTATGCCAAGCCAAACAATCGTTCACATCATATAACTTTTAAAAGAAAAAGAAAAAGTCAGGAAAATGAGACCAAAGAACTGCTTTTTTAATAGTTATCAGTACATGTAAATAAGTGATGGAATTATAAACATAACTAGAGTGCACGCCACATAAGCATGAAACAATTCTTAAGTAATTAGCGCCTAATAAGATTTAGTTATCAACTAACTAAGAATTTAGTGAGGCATAAACAAAGACAAGTTTCCTTTCTGGCATTGTGTTCATGCCCCAGTGAATTCTTAGTTAGTTGATAACTAAATCTTATTAGATGTTGAAAGTTAAGAATTGTTTCATGCTTTTTTGGCGTGCACTCTAGACGCTTGTAAAGCGTGATGCGGGCTAGCTTAGCAAAAGATTCACAATACAAGATAAAAATTGTATCTCCAATGAATATTGTGACTATGACGTAACTATATATGAAAGTAAAATATGCCGTCGAATACCTTAGTTTTCTTTGCAATTCAATTCTTATAGTTAACCTTCACTGTCTGCTATAATCTTATCATATATCAACTATCAACCATAATCTTTGTGCTATAGTGATTGTCCTACATTTGGAATGTATTTTGTAAAAATATTTATGGAAGCTCTTTACTTCTTGGTTAGCGATATCACATCTACTATTATTTACATAACAATGCATTTTAGATGGCATGAGTGCATTCTTTAAATTTTGTTTTTATTAGCCTTTCTTTCGTACAAAAGAAATCTAAAAATTGAAGCAAAACAAAGCTCAATTTCAAAACTTGTACTTTGTCATTTTTAACTAATAAAAACCCCCGATGATATTAAAGCAATTTCTTTGAATTTAAACAATAAAAACATTGTCAATTAAACAGAAGAATACCTTTTGCTGTCTATAAATGTGGTAAAAAAGCCAGTATTTGAGCTGATTTCATGTTGAAGCTGTACTGAATAATCATCGAGCTGGACTGGTGAGGAAGGCGAGACTATTTTCGATGCAAAATCGTCTTAAAATGATAACTAGCAAGCTTGAAACTTCACAAATGCAAAATCCTAGTTCAATTCTTCAATGAGAAAGCTTTTGGTATTTCTTGTTGATAGTTTTTGAGTATTTTCTCTGTTATCGGCAAAGTACCCGCCATTTTGGATTCTTGAGAAAATTTTCAGTTCGAGAGAGACTGCAAACTAATAGATATGATAGATATGGCTTCCTGTGGTTCGAGAGAGACTGGAAACTGCGACACGACAGGAAAAAAAGGTAAAACTATAGCTGGCTACAACGGGGGACAAAAAGAAATGACACCCTCTTAGCTGTTAGGACAAATTTCCTTCTTTGACTGATTTTATCGCTTTTTCACCATAATCTCATCTAAAACCCCTTTCCCCGATTCAATGTTGGGGTGGAGCAGGGAGTTAGGTTCATGAATCATCTTCCAACAATGAATCGGGGGAAGGGGGGTTTATTTTACTCGTGAAATATAAAGATTTTCCTGTATACGCAGGGGGAGTGTCATCTATTTTGTCCCCCGTTGTAGCACAGCTAGCCCGCTAACAAGATTTGAACTTTGTAGTGACAGTAATACACTGCAAAATGTAACTTTTAGATAAGAATATTTTCAATTCACAGATTTTGTTTAGATTTGCTGAATGTATCAAGAATATATCTTGTGGATAGAAAAATTCACCTTAGTATACCTGACAAAACACGAAACAATGAAAACAAAGATATTCATATTATCACCTTATTTAATTAATCAATATTTAATACATTGCCCTATTCATAGTCACACGTGATTATAGTGTTTCATTGGTTATTAATTTGTAGTCTATATCATGTATATCAGTTGTAGTTCAAGTGTACAAGTCTTAATACTGTTTTATCATAGTCATAGTTCAATAGTTATAATCATAATTCTTTCCCATCCCACAGGCATGTCGGAATTATGCACGGATGCGGACTTACATAATTGCCCCCTTTCCGCATAATTAACCAAATCGCGCATAATCCGGCATAATTCATGATTTTTTTCCATGTTATACCATTTTTTAAGATGAATTGCMTTCTACTAATGTTTTTTGGGGTCCCTTGACTGTTTTTTGATCAAAAACGCTCCCAAACATGCTTATAATTTTCCGAAAATAGTTTTGTTTTCGTGGGCTTCACAAATGTACCAGGCGTTGTCCCAGGCGTTCAGAATTTCATCCAAAAAAGAGTCTGGGCACTAGCATTAGCGGTCACCCTGTGCCTTACCAGATCATGTGACAAATTCCAATATGGCGTATGATACAAGTGAGACGTAAAGCGTGCGAGAACGAAAAAGTCTAAAAAAAGATCTTTCCTTCGGTTGGTACTGCCTTCTATACTTCGTAAATAAGATAAAAACAGAGTTTTGCATGCAAAACAAAGACAATAACCTAAAAATATGTAAAATTTCCCAAAGTTTACGTTCCTGTGATGACGTCATCCCGCATAATTTTCCGCATAATTTACCCTTTTCTCCGCATAATATGGGGAAAAAAATTCCGCACAATTTTGATTTTTTTCGCGCATAATTCCGACATGCCTGATCCCACCCTCCCTTATGGTTGGTTAGAGATTTATTCTTGTAGCTAGGTTTTTGGTTTACTTCTCTTGTGTGAATAAATCTACTATTCTGCCAAACAAACTAGTGTGTGTTTCTTCTTGTTTCATTAGTTTTATTATTGACATTTAGGGGGATTAAGTTAAAAACTCATGTATTAAATATTGATTAATTAAATAAGGTGATAATATGAGTATCTTTGTTTTCATGATTGTTTCGTATTTTGTTAAAAAAATAATTTCAAAAAAAAAAAAGATCAATTGCCCAGGTATCCCAATTTGGTCATGTGTATRATCTTTACATGTACTGCACAAAACACAGCTATTGGTTTCTGTACTTTTACGTGTATTCAATAGGGCACAACAATCAAGTTTTGTAATTTCATCATTCATGCCTGAGTCAGATGCCCAGATTTATATCACATATAAAATTTTCAAACATTTCTTAAAGAAATTATAAGTGTTGCTGTTTTTTAACCTTCATAAAACACTGAAAAATGCTGCCTTGACCTAAAGCAATCCATATATTAATCAAGCTGCCAATGGCAACATAACTCGGAGAGTTTCTTGCAAGATGGTCAAAGATGTATTTTGAAGTATTTTGTTAAAAAATTAAATACGTTTTTTTTTAACAAAAAGATGTAAAGGTGATTACAAAATCATGTCAAAATCAAGATGTAAAGGTGAATACAAAGAATTAAGTAACAGTATAAGTTGTTAAAAGTGCAATATTTGAGGATTTGCATTTTTCAGAATTATTTCAGTGCTCTCTTTTATTCTTCGTTAAAAATATGAGAACTTAGTAAACATGAATAATTCAAACAAGCTTTGGCTAGACGCTATCTCAAATCTAACGCAATGTTTACTCAAACTCAACTCAACCTCTCACTCAATCCCTAATCATGTAAAGAAACCTATAGTGTAAACACTAAACCCAATATTGTAGCACAAAATAAGCACCATGGAAAGTGTCTCCTTTTTGAATTTATAAAGGCAAAAAGTAGMATGCATGCATTGAAATCGGGTGAGATTTGACACCTCCTAGGGCAAAAACATTAGGGTGTTCATAGTTGGACAAAATTCATTGAGTGACGTAATTACTTTTTCACACATTTTCAAAGTGATTATAATATGATATTAATTAGGAGCCTAATAGCACATAAGAAACTCATTAGGATACTAAACATGGCATATGGAAACATCCTATTGCTGTAAATGTACCTGAATTGTGTGATTCAGTGACTTGAACACAGCTCTGTAAACAATCCCTAATGGGTAACCTGCAGTGAAAAAAAGTAATGATCATATGCTATTAGCTTGCAAAAAAACAATCATGTCAGCTGATTTAGAGCACAGTTGAAAGGCATAATTATTAAAAAAAATCGTGAACAAAGGTAGAATAGGTCAATTTATAGATATTGCTAGATAATTTGCTATGGAATATTCTAAGAAGAAAAGGAAACATTTCAATATATAAAATTGACTGAAATTTAAAATGACAACTAACCGAAAACAATGCATCTTTATGCTTCTTTGTACTTGTATACTTTTTGCAATCAAAAGTTAAAGATGCATGTGGTTACAATTTATTGCATGCTTGACGTTGAAACCTCGCTGAATGGGATGAGATGACGCGCCTATCAGCCTCATCGATTTGATCATTTATGGTATGCGACATCTCAATATGTGAAACTCGGGACCAAAAGCACGGATGTTTTAAAAAGAAAACATTACGCAAATAAAACATCTTTTGAAGTAACAAAAGAGGAAGGTAATAGTATGGAAACCTACGACGATCACGCAAGATAATATGTAAAGCTTATAACAACAGTTGTCATTGTCATACATTAAGGCATTATTGTTTTCAGACAAAAATCTAAACAACAGCTACAGGTACTATTTATTTCAAAACACATAAAATATTAAGACTCCGCTGTTCGATTTTATGGCTTCGTATAGTTCTTTAAACAAGAGATTCACAATATAATAAGTACTAGCTCGACCATAAAGTTGGCTGTCGATAACAAACAACTCGTTGTCCAACTGTTGCTAAAATTGTGGTAGATTGTAGTATTTAGATCTAACTGAGAACTAAATCGGACAATATTTCTTTGAGTTGAGTTATGTTTGTGCATTCACATGAATTAAAAGTTCTTTAGAAAAAGCAAAACTCTGATCATAGTTTGCTCTGATACAGGGTGATGCGTGACACGCTTCAATACTTCAGTATCCTTTTGGGTCACTTACCTAAAAATAATGACAAAATGAATCGCAAAACATGCTTAGGAAATCCAGTAGCTCGTGAAATATCGCCTTCTAACTCCCAAAATCCTGCAATTTCTGTCATACTTCTGAAAAACTGTTCACGGATGACCTCAAATTTGTCAATTTTTTGGATGAATGAGCAGGCTGACGTCAAGCTGTCAATCATTTCGCGCGCTTTTTCGTTGGAATAAACCAACTCGTTCCCAGGTCTTTTTTCTAAAGGCCGTGTCACACCACAGGCAGCCCAAGCTAAGCATTTAACTAGCAGATTATAGCGATATCTATAATGCATGTAAATACGAAATCTTTGAAAGAAAAAATAAGTAAAAGACATTTTTCTTACCTTATGATGTGGTCTTAGTTATGAATTTAGGCGTAATTTGCCGGTTTTCTTTGATATCTTATATATATTATATAGAGAGTTTGCTGAAGAAGGCCGAAGTGCCGAAACGTACAATATAAAGTAGAAAACCTAGTTACAAGTTGCGTGGCTTTTTCTTCATTTATTCTATATTATATATCTTATATATATTATATAAGAAGGGGAAAGTTTACCATAATGAGCTGAAACTTCACAGGGATGTTGAGAAAATAAGAAGAACACTATGTTGTAGTTTGAAATAATTTTATTCAGTTTTATCACTTTTATTGAACTTTTCGTTTTTCACTGCCAAGTCCAGTGCTTGGGCTACCTGTGCTTGTGTCGCGCAAAAAAATGTTCTAAGTTGCACGATGCCCTGTCACACTAGAAAAAAAGGCGCTTAAAAAGCGCATGTGGTTGACTCCAAAAACTGTTGTTATGAATATTTTGAGATTTTAATATTGTGCTGTGTGCATGAATGAATATTTAAGTAATTTAAGTTGACGATCTGATTTGGGAATTGCTGCAAATATGTTGGTGTCAGGGCAGACAGTTTTAAAGTCTTGGGACGGTTGACAGTTAACTGATGATGACATGTTACCTACTAAAATTACAATCGTTTAAAGAGTGGGAGAAAGTAGAGTGCTCGCACTTAAAGCGTGAAACAAATAGTACTAAACTAAAATAGTATAATATTCTACCCTATCCATTGTTATTAATGAGGTATGGGGATATCCACCTGGCCTGGAACCCAAAGGTGGATTTGTTTTACTCGTAATCGTACGCTTGCCGCGGGAGGTGGGTGGGTAGCCATCCTACTGCTTGTKCCCTTTGAATGAAGTGATTGGAGTAGCCACTCCCTGATCCTATATATACTCATTTACATAATTACAATTCCCTAGGGTATTAATTATAATATTCAAATGACTTTGAATAGTATAATATTCTACCCTATCCATTGTGATTAATGAGGTATGGGGATATCCACCTGGCCTTCCCCTACCTCATTAAACCCTGGCCCGGTACAAGCCTTCCAGAACCCAAACCCGTACGTACACGGGGATCTCAAAGACCCCTTGGCTCTCTCCCAATCCTTAAAATCCCCCTCCCCCCAAGACACCTCAGCCAGAATCTACAAACCGCCCTTCAGCATTTTTATTGATCATTACATTACAACTCTAGACTGCTCAACGAGTGAGTGAGAACACAAATAGCTAGTCGATTATTTAGTCGTCAGCGAATTATATTCCACAGCCCTCGTAGGATTATCCAGTTCACGAATCCAAATCCGTCAATCTTGATGCTGCTTCCGCAGGGTTTAACATAGGCATTGGAGTCCAGGGCCATCAGATCGAATGTATGTCCTCGTTCCCCTCCATGTGCCCTCTATTTATTTATTTATTTATTTATTATTTATTTTCCCCGCCTTCCCAGACAACGTTAAATCCAGGGGACCTAGTACTCTCGATTAGCCCTCTGTCTCATTGTGCGCAGAAGACAGTACTGAGAACAACTCCTTACAAATCCCTGTAAGTTCTCGTTAACTACGACTTCCTTGACCTTCCAATATGTATCAATGATATTGACACTTGCGCGTCCAGTCTACAGTTCCTAACTCCTAACGGACGAGCCTTGATACCAAAATTACCACCAACACTTCCTTAGATGAGATATTCAATGCCATATACTCCGATTTCCACAAGTCTCGAAATGCCTTGTTCCAGTTGGTAAATGAACCAAACAACACATACTGCAATTCATCTGTGGAGACCGACGACCGCACGTGCTTTTAGTCTTGCCACGGTAGAAAATCACTCCACGTGTCCAAGGCCCTTGTCCACGACCTCATGCTCCAGTTCCTCTCGCAATCTATCGGTAACGATTGCATGGCCAGAATCCTTGGCTCTCCCGATAGCCCGAGACACTTCCCTTGCGAACAATGTAGCTGCCGGAACTGCAAGACTGCCGGCCACACATTTACCTTGAAATCGCTGTAAGTTCTTGACAAAACCCCTTTCTTAGATTTTAGGATGCTTTCCCTGAGTGCC